TTATTCAATTTTGTGCCTGAACCATTGGTCAGGGAAAATCAGCCACTGGTGGTTACTGAAGAGGGATATGGTCAAAGTTCAACCCAAGGGCAAGAGTAAGGACTGGAGAATCAGAGAAGATGGTGGATTTTTCCTAAATAAAAGCGAGGAGCAATGGACCTAGGGAATTCATTGTTTAATAAGTACGTTTTCAACCCACCTTCCAGATTTATTAAATTTCTTGTTATTTGATATGACCTATTAAAATTTTGGATCCTGACTTGTTCATTCAGTGTGTCAGTTCACTTCATCTTCATTATTACGATGATAAGAAGGTTAGGAGAGGAACCTTATAGAAATCAGGTGGTTATGGGTCTGGCAGATGCTTAGCTACTAGATGTTCCAGGGTCTGTGTGAAGATGGGAACATATAGTATAATCTTGTTGTACCTTGAGCAACTTATCATAAACCATGTGGCACTATGTAGTTGGTTGACTGGAAAAAGGCAGTGTGGTGTAGTGGATGGGTCACTAGACTTGGGGTCAGGAAGACCTGGATTCAGATACTTACTATGTCACTATATGACCCTTGGCAAGTCACTTGGGCTGTCTTTGCCTGACTTTCCTCACCTGATAAATGAGGGGTTTGGACTTTCTGGTCTCCAAGGTCCCTTCTGGCTCTAAGTCTATGATTCTACAATTATGCTCACAGAGTGGAGAGGCAGGTTTCCATTGGGAGAGGCTATGTAGGATAAGAGGAGAGAAGGACCCAGGGTGGGAAGTGATTGGATCTAGACAAAGGCTACCAGAAAAATGGATTCCTGTGGGTTTCATCTAAGTTGGGTCAATCTAGACTCTGAAACTGTGATGTATGCCAGAACCCCCTCTCTTGTATATGCTGCCATATTCCATGAAATGGAATCCAGGCTTAATCTGTGGGAAAGTAATATTATTGCTCTAAATATAACTGAGCTAAGAGTGTGGTGCCATTACTGGCTCATGCAGAGGACCTGGGTGGGAGATAAGGGGTCGTGTTTCCCAGATCTAGCCCCGTGCAGGAGCCCCAGGCTCTTGGAATGTGGCAACAAACGCACAATTTTGGATCAGATAAATGCCCCAGGGAGGTAGATAGACCATGTCCTTTGATACATGTGCTGTTCCAAGGGACTCTGTGTTCTCTTTCATGCACTCCTGGGTGGGGGCAGGGGGGTCTTGTTCTTTAGGAAGCAGTAGGGGAGCAGGGCCCCTTGCCAAGAAGGAAAATTGCTGAGGGGTTTGTGGATGATGGAAAGTCTTTACTTTTGCTAAAGCCTCTCTCTTCCCCTGGTTGTCAGTCAGATCACTCATTAGGTTGAGAGTGCCTTCTCCAGGCTAGCCACTTCTAATGAGAGGCACCATGAGGCTCTGGGCCTCTTTACTTCCTTCTTGGTGTTCATCTACTTCTCAACACTGACAGCTACTACAACAAATAAAGGTGGGTATGGGGAATGGGTGTCTGAGGAAGAGATCAGGCATGGGTAGAGGCCTGGTTGAGCCCACAGGCTGGGATCCCAGAAGGATTCATCTCTTCATATGGAGAATTGAGGACAGGTAGGTGGCACAGTGGATAGAGTACCTCGCCTGGAGTCAGGAAGACTCATCTTCTTGAGTTCAAATCTGGCCTTGGACACTTACTAGTTGTGTGACCCTGGGCAAGTCACTTAACCCTGCTTGTTTCAGTTTCCTTATCTGTAAAATGAGCTGGAAATGGCAAACCACTCCAGTATTTTTGCCAAGAAAACTCCAAATGGGGTCACAAAGAGTTGGACTGAAAATGATTGAACAACAATGGAGCATTGATCACCTCATAGAATTCTCTATCCTACCCTGCTCTAGTGCTCAGTTGACTAGTCAGCTCCTTAGAGAACTAGTGAAGGTGTGGGGATGGGGGAAATGAGGGAAAGAAAAAGCATTTCTCACCTTGACCATTTTTACCAGCATCAACCACTGGAAGAGAGCCCTTCCTATTCCCAAGGTCTCTAGTTGCAGATGTTAGGTGTAGGATTGCCTGACCTCCTGGATGAAGTCTTTGGTTCATAACAGATGGGGGACTGAGTACTCATCTGCAGCCCAATATGTGTATTATACCTGGCACAATACTGGGCACATGGGAGACACTCAATATGTGCTTGTGGAATGAAGGAGAAAGTGGAATAGAATTGATGGTATGGAGCAAAATAGCGACTCAGCAAATAGCATTGAAAGACGCCCCCTTCTGGTCCTAAATTATCCATCCTTTGGCTGTAGGTTCGTGTGAATAAATGATTGCAGTTCTTTGTCAAGCCAGTGATGAGCCTGGGATATAATATGGAGAGGAGAAGGAAGGAGGGAATAAATAGTGACTTAGCACCACTGTATGCCAGGCACTGTACTAAGCCCTTTTTTTCCTTCACAAATTTTATCTCATTTAATCTTTGCTACAACCTTACAAGGTAGGTCCATTTTACAGTGGAAGAAACTGAGGCAGAGAGTGGTTAAGTGACTTGACTAGGGCCACGTAACTAGGAAGTATCTGAGGCTGGATTTAGACTCAAGATGTGCTTATCCACTGAGCCTGTCCCCAAGAATAGAATTAAAGGCACCCTTTGTTGATCTAATTTCCCAATCTAGTAGCTATCTACTAAGGAAATCAGGTTAGCCTGGCATAATTGGTTTCCAATGAAACTGTACTGTCTTTTAGAAATCATCATTATACTTTCCAATTGCTTTAGGATTTTGCCAGGAATCGAAGGCTCATGGTGTATAGAATGAACCCTTCTTTTTGTTTTGAGAACTATGACATTTGTACTTCCTCCATCCTGAAGCACCTGTGATACTTCCTCCATATCTTAGTGATATATACATACATACATACACACATATATATGTGTGTGTGTGTGTGTGTGTGTGTGTGTGTATAAATTTTTTTTTTTGGCATGGCAATTGGGGTTAAGTGACTTGCCCAAGGTCAAGCAGCTAGTAAGTATCAAGTGTCTGGTCTGAGATTGGATTTGAACTCAGGACCTCCTGACTCCAGGGCTGATGCTCTATCCACTAAGCCACCTAGAAGCCCCCTTTTCTTGGTGATGTTTTGATTATCATAGGCAATGACTTGATAAATTACAAGCTGATTCCTGAGCACCTGGGGATGTAGTTTTTCTATACCTGATGATTTAAAATCATAATTGCTTTGTGGCATTTAAGAAGGTTTAAGAGACATAATTTCTGGGTAATTTAATATTTTATTAATAATGCCAGCATTTTAATAAAAGGAGGGTCATTTGGTGGTCTCTTAGACTAAAGATAATCATGGTGGTGGCTCATGGCTCATGGCTTATATATCCATTGTTTCCAAAGGTAGCAATCAACTCTGATTGGTTAACAGTTAATGAGAGAATGAATATTGCAATTTATTACAATATTATAAATATTAGGTGCTGGACCTAAACTTCGATTATGTCATTTACTTCCTAACTTGTCTCTAGCCATGGGCAAGCTATTCAAAGAATTTATCCCCGCCCAAACCAGAATAGAGCACAATGGTTTCCCCACCTGGGTGGGGTCTGGATAGACAGAAAGTTAGCTCAACCTGCAGAGACTAAGGTCTTGAAATGAGAATAAAAGAACAAGGGGAAAATCTGAATGTCCCCAAATTATTGGTTATTAATAATCATTTCTCTCAGCTTATTGATTGATGGAAGGCAGTTAGGGCTCTGTTTAACCATTTCCTCACTGTCCTGGGATTTCAACTCTTATTCAACCATTTCCTGTCCTCAGACAAGGTTCTGGTACAGGTTGGTTTAGATGGCCCCTGAGGTTACCTTCTATGGTCCTGATTTGATTAAGAGCCAAGAGGGGAATTTCAGGGTTCGGAATCCTCAGGTGGCACAGTTATAGTTGACGAGATCAAAGGCATGGCCATTTCTGTGGGTACGAAGAAAGAGCAATGATAAAACTCAAGGGAGAATCAAAATGCTCAGTTTCTGTCATAGGCGATCCTTGTGTCCTGCTGTCAACGGGGCTCTTCAGAAAGGAATTACATCAGGTTTTAATTCTCTCCTCTGCTCCCCAATGACAGACTACACCACTCATCACCAGAGAGCTACTGGGATCTCTGTCCTCAACACTGAAGAAGTTCCATTTGGCATCATTTCCCTGGGAGTCATAGGGTCTCCATGTTGGACCATTGTTAGGCTTAGAGCCCAAGGGATTAGAAGCCACAAGTTGCTAGCTGGTGTGCCTAGGTGGACCTTTTGGTGCAGATTCATTGCAAAAGATTCACAGTAGGGCCTCTCACACAGGTACTGTAGCTACAACTTCTATGGAGCTGAGAATGAAACAGGTCACATCTACAAAGAGCAGATACAGATTCTGATCTGACCAGAACCCTGCTTCCAGCAGACTTGTGGTCTAGTACCTGGGTTCTTTACTGTTTTTGTGTGTCCTGGACCCCAGTGGCAGTCCAGTGAAGCCTGTGGACCCCTTCTTGAAAGAAGGTTTTTAAAGGCATAAAACAAAAATATGTAGGATTTCAAAGGAAACAAATTATATTGAAATACAGTTGTCAAAATATTAAAAAGAAACAAATTCTCAGACCCCAAATAAAAAACCCCTGTTCTAGTGGAAAAAGTCAGCAAGCTTGGCTCTATCTAAGCTTGTCCACTGTTGGATTCTGGGATTCTGAACCTCCTCAATGACCCTCAGGTACTGAGGAATGTGAATTTGGTTTTGGCCAATAGGTGCCTTGGGATCTCTTATCTTGGAGGCAGCTAGGGGACAAAGTGTCTAGAGTGCTGGACCAGGAGTCAGAATAGATCTGAGTTTGCAGCCTCAGACATCTGCTAGCTGCAAGTTACTTAACTTTTGTCTTCCTCGGTTTCACCATCTGCAAAATGGGGATAATATTAGCCCCCACCACTCAAAGTTGTGAGAATCAAATGATATCGTATTTGTGAAGTGCTTTGCATATAAATATTAGCGATTATTATTATCTGTAATTCCCACCTTCTTGGTGTCTCTCTTTAGGCAAATGCCAGTTGCCTGAAGATCAGGGTGTCTGCCGAGGGGTTTTCACTAGGTGGTTTTTCAATATGGACACCCAGAAGTGTGAGTCCTTTATCTATGGGGGCTGCGGAGGAAATAATAACAACTTCAGAAACAAATTCCAATGCTTGCAAGCCTGCAGTAGTAAAGGTAAGGCTGAGGGCAATTTTGACATCTGAATCCAGCCCTGCCCAGGGCTAGGGGCAACCTTTAAATATTTCTCCAGTGATTCCTTACTTTGCCTGAAATTCCCTCTAAAGTCCCCAGTTCACTGGACTTCCCAAACTTCCATTTGAAAATGCAACTGCCTGGGGAGCGGGGTTGGAGGGGTGAAGCTACTAGTCATTCACACTTCAGTGTGAATTTTTTTCACCAGGGATTGTTCCCCACTAGTCTTACTTTCTCCTTCCAAAAAGGCTTCGGGTAAAGGCAGGAAGGAAGGTGGGGTGTGATTTTAAAATCTGAGGGCCTTTAAGCTTTAAGTGAAAGTTCATTGTGTGACCTTAAAAGAACCAGAGGAATCGAGGAGGGACGTGGCCTGGATAATAGGAGGTAGTGATAGAATAACAGAAAGGGAAGTGAGAGTGGGCTCAGGACAAATTTTGGCTACCACCAGTCTGAAAGGATTTGTTGATACCTACTGTAGACAAGGCACTGGGTGTCCCAGTTTGTTCCAGGGAATAGAGCTGTGGATGATTTCCATGCTGGGCACAGGAATTCTATGGCTGTGTCATGGTGACAGTTGGCCTGGGTGCTGCAGGAGGCTCCTAAGCAGCATCCCCACCTTCCTAGATCTTGTCCCTTCCCTCTAGCTTTTTACCTAGGGGGGCAGCCTTGGGTTAGACTTCAGGATTGATTTTTGTCCATTCTCCATACCATGAGGGAAGATTTGCCTCCCTTATCATGGCAAGCAATAACCACTGCCCCGAGACCTTCTTGGAAGGATCTGCAGTGGTGTTGGGGGTACAGGGTGGGGACAAGAAACTGTCTTGTCTCATATGAGGGTGGACCCACACAGTCTGCTTCCTCCTAGGACTGGATAGGGAGACCAGGTAGTATTTGAGAGGGACTTCTGGGGTTTCCATACCTGAGTGACCCATCCCAGTGGGTATGGCATAAGAAGGCAGGATGCCCATCACCTCACTTGGATCTGCCAGAGAGAAATACATCCAACCAGATTGGAAAGCTGGAACCTGGAGGTGCTCCCATTCTGGAGTCCTCTCCTTTGCTTGTCTTCTAGGCTAAGGAGCAGAAACTATATTAAGTCACATCTCTGACTTCCCTGAGCTCAGCCTGGGTCCTACTTTAGCCACCCCAGTGATCCTGAATCCCTACCTATCATGGTACAATCTCTGTTCTCCATCCATCACTAACTGCTCACTTATTCCCATTCGCCTTATTTCTGCTCTTGCAATGTTAAAGCTTCTTGCTGGATAGGTAACAAACTTGCTTTTGAATCTTTTTCTTTCTTATTCCTTTCTTCTTCTGCGTCTCACTGAGATCCAGCTCTTTCCTGAAGACATAGCCATCCTTTCGAGCAACTTTCACTCACTTCCCAACTCAATGGTCAAGGCAGGCTACTCTCTCTCTCTCCTCCTCATTGTCACTTCCAGTCTCTCCCTCCACCTCCATCATTCAGTAACCTCTACTCCTTTGAGGTTCACTCAATCTATATCTGCCATCCCAACAAAGTTCTTTTACCTGTTGTCTACCAGCTTCCAGGATACTCTCTTTCTTGTCTTGTTAAGTTTAGTACCTGGCTTACAGTCTTTCTCTCCTCTCCATTTTTCATCTCCTTGTATTAGTGGACTTATACATATTGATACTCCATCAAACACCATAACTCAGGCCTCTATCCCACCTCAGCTATACACAGAGATGATCACATCTTTGATCTCACTATCACCTACAATGCTCTACTTCCATGTTTATGAACTCTGAAATTCCCTTACCTGATAAAAATCTATTGTCATTCTACCTCTCTCTGTGTCTTGCAACCCAGTCCTCATCATGACCTCCAGTTCCTCAACTCCCTAGATCTTTCCGAGGCTAACACTCCTTTACTGACTATTGGCTACTCTCCTCCCTTTCCCCATCTTGAACCCTTGGCAAACCAATTCAACTCTTCATTGTCCCTTTCTCTTGAGTCCTTCACCTTTTTATCCTATCACTGATCGGCTAGGACCATTGCCATGGTTCAGCCCTAAATTACTCCCACCATCCACTGCCTTTTCTTATACTTATCTTCTGCTAAATGAAGGTAGAGAAAATAATGAAACTGAACTGACTGACTGGGCCCACTACAAATATGTCATATAATCTCAACTGGACCCTCACTGTAGCAGAAGTAATCCTTTCATACCTCTCTAATTGACTGACTATCCCACTCTCCATAAGTGCTTTTCCAAATTTTTTTATCTTTCTTCAAAACTCACATAGCTTCCCTCTCCTCCACATCGCAGTTGAGAATCTCACTTCAAATTTCATTGAAGAAATGAGGCCATTTGCCATGAGCTCCTGCCTCTTCATGTTGTTAATTGGATGCCTTCTGCCACTCGGTCACCTTTATCCCTGTTTCACATGATGAGGTGGGCTTACTCCTTACCAGAGGTAACCCTTCTACCTACCCAAGAGATTCTTCCATCCCATATTCTTCAGTAGATTGCTGCTTCCATTGCCTCCCACTGATCTTCAATCTTTCCTTGTTTATTGGCTGCTTCCTTACTGCCTACAAACATGCCCGCGTCTTCACCATCCCCAGAAAACCTTCACTTACTCCATCTATCCCTACTAGTTCTTTTCCCATGTCTCTCCTTCCCTTTATGGCTAACCTCCTTGAGAAGGCTGACTACAATGAATGATTCCACTTCCTTTCCCCTCTCGCTTTTCTTAATTCTCCTCAGTCTGGCTTCTGTCCTCACCATTCAACCAAAACCACTCTTTCCAAGGTTATTAATGAGCTTTTAATTGTTGAATCTAATGGTGCATTCTTGATCCTCATCCTTCTTGACCTCTGTGTGGCTGTTGACACTGTCCGCCACCCTATTCTTGATACTCTCTCCTCTCCAAGTTTTTGTGAAAATGCCCTCTTTTGGCTTGTCTCCTGTCTATTTGACCTCTCCTTCTCAGTCTCCTTTGCTGGATCTTCATCCAGGTCATGCCTGCTAATCACGGGGGTCCCATAAGGCTCTGTCCTCAGCCCTTCTCTCTTTTTCTTTGATTCTGTTTCACTTGGTGATCTCATCTGCTCACATGGATGACCATTTCAATGATCACTTCTATGCTGATTAATCTCAAATCTATTTAACTAACCCTAAGCTCTCTGCTGATCTCTGGTCTCACATCTCCAAATGCCTATTGGTTATCTCAAACTGAATTTACCATAGACATCTTGAATTCAACATTTTCAGAAGTGAACTCATTATCTTTTCCCCCAAACCCTCCCTTCTTCCTAACTTCCCCATTATTGTCCAGGGTACCACCATCTTTGCAGTCACCCAGGCTTGCAACCTAAGTGTCATTTCCAACTCTTCACTCTCTTGCCTCCCTTCCCTGTATCCCATCTACCTGCCATATCTAACTATTGCCAAGGCTCATCAATTTTACCTTTGGTAACATCTCTCACATATATCTGTTTGTCTCTTTTGACACTGCCGCCATCTTGGTATAGGCCCTTATGACCTCATCTTTGGGTTATTGCAATGGCCTTCTGATTGGCCTCCCTGCCTCAAGTCTCTCCCCACTGCAGTCTATCCTCTACTCAGCTGACAAAGTTATCTTCCTAAAGTGTAGATCTGATCATGTCACCTCCCTATTCAATAAATTTTAGCAACCCCCTAACACTTCTAGGATTAAATAGAAAATCCTCTATTTGGTGTTCACTCATTTTAATAGCTTTCTCTTCCCTCTCCATTCCAGTCTCCTTATGCCTTACAATCCACTCCTTACTCAAGGGGCCAACTGTGGATTTCAGGCTCTTAAGGGGCACTCTAGGCTCCCCATGGCCTGTGCTCCTGATATGATTGATCATCCAGATACAGTTGAGCCTTGATCACTTATTTTGGAAGTGCTAGTGGACCTGGATTAGACCATAAAAGGGTGCCTTTAGGAAATTGGGGAAGCCATAGGACAGAGTGAGGAGAAGCTACCCAAAGACTTCAATCTTCAAAATATGACCATGCTATGTTTACCAGGACTGGTGCTTTCAGTATGGGGCTCTCAGTTTCCTGTTTTGGTATTTTCGCCTTCTTTTCTTTATTCTTTACTATTTTCACTTTTTTGATACAACTATCTCTGGTTGGGGCAGACTTTTTCAAGTGCTAAGGTAGGTGGCAACCTATGAGAATTTCATAAATGTGATTAGATTGGATTTGTAAGGCAATAATCTCCAAGCCACTGTGGTAGATACGGACTCCTACAGAACATTGTTAATTTCCAGATTGTCCAGGAGGTATGATACAGACTTTGTTGAAGACCTTTTAGTACAAATCCCTGGGGAGACACTCAAAAGGATGCTACTTGAGCCTCCTTGTGGCATTTTGAATTAGGAATATGGACAAATGTGCCCAGTGCACACCAGTTAATCTGCTGGAGGCAACACATATTTAATTGGAGGTTGGGCAGGGGGAGGGAGATTGTAAAAGAACTTTGAAGAGTTTTCCTGTAATTCTATAACAAGGTGTGAAAAGCCTGGGATGCTGCCTTAAAATGACCCTTAGAGAATAGCTATAGCACAGATTATATGGGAAGGAAGAAAGGGTAGAGAGCGAGCTAAGACCATTGTTAGCAGAACAGTAAAACCTTGGGAACCTGATTGACTTCATGTATTTGTGCATATTTGTTCTCTAGTATTGTGTTTCCCTTGGAAAGTCTGACATATTAGGCTATGCTCTAAGTTACCCGATATCTTAATTTTATAATGCACAAAAGGATGAACAGTTATGTCATAAAGTCATCAAGAGAGGTGACCTTGGTAACACCTTTTGAGCACTTATGCTCTTGAGTTTGCGTATGGCAGAGATTGCAAGACTCTTGGAATCAGTAGTTACTAGACCCTGACTGAAGCTGTCTCCTTATAAGCTCTGTGGTTTGTGGTTTGCTGCGTATCCATGTTATCTCTTGGGTGATGTTTCCTATAGAGCCAATATCCCATATGAAGAACCTCTCCTTGCTCATTATTCCATCTTTTCCCAATGGACATGACTAATGAGGTAGGAAGCCATACCTAGGGCCAGTAGTCAAGTGTAGGATGGTGGTGAGCAGGAGAGACTGACCAGACTTCAAATGCCAAAGACAGATACAAAAAGAGCCATAGACACAGAGAAGGAATTCACATAGGATGTGGGCAAGTCTGGAGAGGTCAAGGACAAGACCAGGTGGACACTGGTCATGGAAAGAATCTTTCTCCATGCCTAAACCTCCTTTTAAGCTGACTCCAATGACTGCACATGTATAACCTATGTCAAATTGCTTCCTTTCTTGATGGGGGAGGGGTGGAGAGGAGGGAAGGAGGGAAAGAATTTGGAACTCAAAATTTTTTTTTTGTTGTTATTTTAGGCAATGGGGTTAAGTGACTTGCCCAGGGTCACACAGCTAGTAAGTGTTATGTGTCTGAGGCCGGATTTGAACTCAGGTCCTCCTGAATCCAGGGCTGGTGCTCTATCCACTGCACCAGCTAGCTGCCCCTAAAGAATTTTTTTTTTTTTGGTGAGGCAATTGGGGTTACGTGACTTGCCCAGAGTCACACTGCTAGTGAATGTTACATGTCTGAGGCTGGACTTGAACTCAGGTCCTCCTGACTTCAGGGCCAGTGCTCTATCCACTGCACCACCTAGCTGACCCTGGAACTCAAAATTTGAAAAAAGAATGCTAAAATTGTTTTTACGTGTAATTGAGGAAAAAATAAAATTTTAAAGTGAACTGATTTCAACACTCCTCCAGCAGTGAATAAGCCACAAAGAGAGCCTGGGGTCCTACATAGCTCACCTGGTGAGTCAGCCATGCTGAGAAGCAGTTAGAATGAAAGATCATACATCCCAGAAAGCAACAGAGCAGTGAGGGAGGAAAAGTGGCCAAAGGAGGAATTGTCACTAGTTTAAAGTCCCATGTTCCACAATTTATTGACATTTACTTTTTGGGAGTCCATGAGTGGAATAACACCGGGAAGAGAACAAGGGAAGGGAGTGTTTAGGAGGCCAAGGAAGGAGAGAGTGTCTTAAAGATAGAGTGGTATCAAATTCTT